GATTAAGACGTAGACGAGAATGGGAGTGATATCATCTGCGGCTGCTGCTCCCATGCCCGGCGCCATTGAAATAAGATTACTTATTGTTTCGCAACACCTGAGCAAAACAGTACATGCTATTTATTGTTTCCCATCTCAACTCAGCACAAACCGAACAACACAGGAGAGCTTATCTCGAGCAGACTTATATGCATTAATTACATTAATTTCTGCCTGGGCCGAGGACCAAGGTGCTTCACCGTGAAGAATCTGAACATCTTATAAAATCAATTAAACTTCATGCGTTTTTATAAACTTCGCACAACTCACAGCGGGGATTTTCAACATGGGATGATCCGGATGTGTTGATCGACCAAGCCGCGCTAGCGATTTAGAGAACAAACTGTAAGAACATTTTACAATCCTAACAGCAATCTGACTAGAATTAGGTTATTGCGCAGAACTTGTGAATCCAAAAAATCATTAAGAAGAAACGAAAAGATTTCAGAATAAATATTTCTTAAATAAAGTGAGGGAATATACAACTCATGCTGATCTTATTTTTGAAAGTTGAGTAAGCGGATGTTACAATGCTCAAATACCAGATGCCTTTGACTACATGTGATATTATCACAGACGGTAAAGATAGGTCAGAAAAACCAAAGAAAATGAAAAAGTTCTGCAATTTGAGTAAAACGGGAAGGAAAACTCAGATCTTGCCTACTCCAACTACTCTCAACTTGCAATTGCTGAACTACGTCTTCACTGTCTCGCAAATTTTAAAAACCTTCTCATTCACAACTAACCAAAATTACTGACTGAAGAACAGAGATTTCGATGAATTTCACCGTTTGAAAGTTGAACTCAAAATCAAATACATACAATATTTAAAATTCTGCTGTTACTTTGCAGAAATTGAATCACATTACCCAAATTCACCGCTAAACTGAGTTAATTAGGAAATACTAAATCTATATTGGAAACAATTCACCTTCACTGTAAAGTTAGAAGTGAATGAGTTCGACAGTAACAACATCTTGAGCAGGACCTAATCAACCTTTTCTCGCAACTTCTAGAAGGAAGAGAGAGAGAGACGAGGAGGATGGGGGGAAAGAATATGATGGAAAGCAATTTGATAAACTTCCACTGCTTTGTCAAACAGCAGTCGATAATGGAGATAACCGCAAAACAGTTTGCTTTCTTCTTTGAGGACTAATTTTAAAAAAACGGAAAGATTGTGCACTACGTAAATGAGCATCAAATATATGGAAGGAGAACGATTGCAAGGAACTCACTCGTCACGATGACGATCAGCATCTAAATTAGGATAAAAAGCCAGAGCATGTATTTGAGCCATGATCACGCGTTCAATTGTCTTCCTAGCGTACGCGAGAAGATGAGAAGGAGCATTCTGCCACATGGACGAGACTGGCAAGCGTGCATACATCCCAGCCAACGTTCGTAGTAGACAATCAATCTTTTCGTCCTAAATGAATAAAGATTAGGTTCGGAAAAAAAAGCTAGCTGGGACGTATATGAGAAGA